CCGAATCGCGTATATTATCGGATTTAGCGCGGAATTCAACGTGGCCAGATTCATCAGAAAAAAACGCACACTTATTGTGGTTGGTGTATATTGTAAGTGAGAAGAAAAACTATGCACAGCCAGCATTGCGATAACGGGAGTCCAGCACGTGAAAAAACACACAAGAATCAATGCCACAGTTTTGGACATTTTTATGTCCTTTTGCCTGACTCTTAAATTTGACCGCCGCCGAACTGTTTCGATTTTGACATACATACAGACAATACACGAGGATACGACGACAAAAATGGAAGACAAAACACCACCTAAATAGTGCTCTGGAAGAACTAACGACATTTCGCAATCTTTTTCATCCTCATAGGACCAGTCCTTGTGCCAGACAAACGGGAGGAAAAAACCGACGAGCAGAGATGGCGTCCAAATCACCAGTCCAATGATAACAGACCACCTTTTAGTATGGCGCTGTCTGTGTTTCAGCGGATGCACTATGGCGTAGTACCTCTCAACAGTGATCATAAGCAATGAAAAAATAGTCGCCAAGCCCGGGCATATGGTCAGAGAGTACCTCAAAATGCAAAGATGGAGCCACTTTATTGTGTCAAAGACACTGAATGTCACAATGTGGAACGCGATCATAAGTCCGGCCACGAGATCCGTCACCGGAAGTTGGATCAACACCATATTGTTCCTAGTTCGAAGCCTGCGGACTCGATAGTAAGCGGCAACCACAAGGACGTTACCCACGCATATCAGTAGCATCAACAGGATGAGTGCTGTCACGACCCATGGTTTGTACCACGAAGACTGGTAGTAGTAAGCAACTGTCAAGTTTTCCTCTTTCTGGCTTGTAGACAAGGTGGTATTGGCCACGCCCAAGTTCAAGGAGTTGGGGGAAATCTCTGAAGTGAATGGAAGTGCCATAGCCATGTCTTCTGCACTGTTGTCCATGATGGTTGTGTAATCCTCTTTGAAATTAAGTGTCACTGGGCAGCTGCCTCAAAATCTGTTGAAATGTGTTGAAAATTCAATGGCACTGTGTCTAGGGGATGCATGCATGTAGGCCTACCTGCAACAGAATATGGTATTATCGTTCTTTTCTTTGATCGAATTCTTAGAGCAAATTGAAGAAAATCAGAAGATTTGCCCTATCTCACTTCCTTTAAAAAAAGCAACGGCAAAAGCTGCATAAAATATCAACAATGCACCGTCCAACGCGATGTTAAAGTCTTGTTACGTATTTTGTGTAGTTCATCAAAATATGTAAAAAAAGTTTAAGCTTTGGATTCCATTTAGAATATAAAATCGGTAAATGTATATATTTAGTGAAAAAAGAAGAAATACCCTGATGCCCAAATATCTTGATGTTGTCAGTTAACGTTTTTAAAACCGTAATGAGTTGCTACTTACCAAAATTCTGAAAAACTCTGCAGCCCCGTCTTCAGTTAACTGCCAGGGTAAGCTGTCTGAGTAACAGAGACGCGGTGTTCTTCTTAAAGACGCCGAAGAGCGATACCTAGACTCTTGAAGGTAGGTGTGCTTATATACGGATTTGTGTTTCTGGCATATAAAAAAATAGACAATGGCTACAATGCATGTGTAATCGCCTAATACCACAGGGTTGTGCAATTATGTCTTTTTCTAGATCACCCACCTGGATAACCCTCCACTTCTCGGCAATTTCAATAAAGCGAGAAGGTTGGCCTCTTTGTCTCTCAGTTAACTTCTTGTGGGCGTCCCTTTCTTCGCCTTCCTAGAACCTGTTACAGAAATGTAAATTAACCGCCAAGGTATAATCAGCGTTGACATTGTGTGGATCTGTAGTCAGCAGCTTGGTATTTGAAACGTTGGAAGGTCATGGATGAACTGTTAAAATTATAAGTATCCTTCAGGGCAACTAAGTTGGTCGAATTCAAAAACTTAACGCTGTCACATTTCAGGCATTTGCGAGAACATGATTTTTTGTTGCTTTTCTGAGAAAGAGTTTATTTATTGTTAACACACATGTAAAATGGTCCGTTTACAATTGTGTTTTACTAAACTTATGCTAAGGTGTCATCTCAATCAAAATGTTAGTTATAAATGGGAAACTATACAGCATCGACCTGTTTTTAGTGCACGTAATTTACAGATTTAGGCACAGTCCTTGATGTTTTTGAACTCATGGCCGAGTGACAAACAACAACAACTGCGACCCATTATTAAAACCTTACGCTCGTTTGGTCTCTTAAAACCTTAGTCACTCAAAATTGAACCCAAACAAATTAAAGGTGACTGCTTCAATTTGATGGATTGATGAATGGAGTTTTCTTATTAAAAAGAGCATCAAAGTTAGGACCAAATGGTCAACATTTTCATCTTCAGTTTTGACTTTGCAATCTATCATATCTGGAGTTGAGAACGGATCGAGAGAAAAGTGGTCAGATTTAACTCACCTAAGATGAGTTATGTAAAAGGACACGCACACGCACACACACGCACACACAGTTGGTTAGTTTGTGCGTGTACGATATTGCACACACGCACGCATACGAACAAAGAAAAACGCACGCCAAAGTTTACATGAACACAAACACACACTGACTGTTATGTAGCCTGTGCATATATGAAATAACACACGCACACATGTGCACACACACACACACACACTAACACATGTACACATACACGCACAAACAAACACACACACACACACACGCACACACACACACACAACGATCGTTGTGTTGCTTGTGCACATATACGAAATGACACATACACGCACATAAGATTTTTAAAGATAAATAAATGAATAAAAATAAGCCAAACTCATTATATTCAGTCTTAGCGAGAATCTCCTCGGAGATGGGTCGACATAGCTATATCGATCTAGGTAGGGGAATGGGGACTTTGTTGTTGGCCCCAGGTAAAAAAAAAAAAAAAAAAAAAAAACTTTAACTTCATGACTGTGCTGTAACACCGATTATGATAAGGTAAGATGTGCGCATGTGACCACGTTACGTTGGTAATTAAGTTCTTAGCTAGGGAACCTGACTTAAGTTTTTATTTATTTTATTATTATTATTATTATTATTATTATTATTATTATTTTGTGAAACCCGGGCCAGAGGCCATCTGGGTGACAAAGTCTGCGCATAACTTTTTTTCTGGATCAAATATAAAATATGTGTAGCCAGAGAAAAATGTGTGATATTTAAAGGAAATTGTTTTCATTGTGACACTAATAGAGGACACCTTGTTGCCACCCACACATCTTGTGCGTCAGTGTCTTGTGATACCACGCAACTGAAGATGTGACAACAATTTTCATTTTTCTACGTAAAAACCATAAGCATATCCTGCATTTTTTTCAAATCTGCTTACCGTGGGAAATTACGTGTAGGGGTGAGATATTCTGAATTTAAAGCCGGCCATCTCCCCCTTCAAATTGTCTTCAGTGGCAGACAAAGGTGTAAGGTATAATGTATAATTGATGATTCATGAAGTGTGAAGATACAAAAATAAAGTTAGCGTTCACATATTACAGGTTATGTACACAGTAAGGTGAACCGTAGCAACCTATAATTTTAGGACATACATTTTGTAGCCTCGTAAAAACTGGAATTTTGTTATGAAATTCGTTAAATGGGTAGAGTCAACATACTTCTTGTTTTTTTTTTAATCTTAGGAAATGATACATATAATAACATATCATAAGAAAATCCATGTATTCGGCTTAATAATAAGCTTAATTGATATTTTGTAGGAGTTATAGGTGATCGTATGATTGATCTTGTTTTATGTCGAGGCACGTCGTTTTGTTTCTGTGCTATAAAAAGAATTCTGATATAAGATAAATCTCAACTATCACAATTATGCCACAATGCCAATGGGGTACACCATGGGTCATTTTGAATTTTTTTCAAATCCTAAGTTTGGTGCGCTTTTTATCCACCAAGAGGAAAAGGTTCAATGAGTAAATCACAAGAGAAAAACATTGTTTTTTTATTAAAAAAGATATGTTATTAATGACAAAAGCGGTCCATATCCACAAAAGAATAACTAAAAATGCAGATAACAAAATCAACTAAAATCACCTCGTTTTCAGACCATTCAGCTCAAAATTGATAAATCATCAAATGCAAATTGCATAGATATCGTCCATGTTGTTCTCGCAGAGTCGGCAGACGATTCCGGTGACGTGTAACTGAAATCTTCGTCGACCTGTCAACATCTAGAGTCTGTTTGACAGAGTAAAATTAGCCCGAACATTTTTAGACCAATGTTTTAGACCCAGTTCCCATACCTAGATCGAACTCGCAGGATCGACCCATCTCCGAGGGGTTTCTCGCTAAATTGCATTCAGTTTAAGCGACTCTATATCTGGCACGCCTACTGAAGCTGTTAGAGGGTAATTTTAAAACTATCGTTAAGCAGCTTCGGTAGGCGTGCCAGACATCTAAGTCACTTAAGCTGAAAGCAATTTAGCGGGTCGACTGCCACTGAAAATTCGACAAACGTGTTGTATCCTTCAAACTGATTAAATTACTATTCCTGTCAAGAAAGGTTATAATTCATCGAGCAACCTGAAGAACCCTTTGCATCATTGCTGTTATTCTGATACAAATTGATTAATACCAAAGTGTTAGGTTTATCTTCTCCTCTGTTCGGCACTGCTGACAACTACATGTATATGTACTAGTAGATAATGCATTAACCAGCTGTAAGACATTTCAATATGAAACCTACTGCCTTTGAGAAATGTCATGTCCTGTAGCTACACAGCATCGTATTTTGACAAATGCCAATGTCGTTTTTTTTTGTCTTTATCTTAAATGTCAGTCGCATGCGTGCGTGCAAAGGTATTTCGGTTGGTTTCCTTTGACTATAAACAACCACATTCATTTAACACAACTGGTCTCCAAACAGCTTGTCGTTTGTCCATTTTCATGGATGCATTCATGCTGGGTAACCCCAGGGAGATTCTATAACGTTTCTCTTTTCTTGTCTCCTTCCTTGTCCTTTTTCATTTAGGTCCAGGTAGACAGAACATGATGAGGAATACGATGGAGCTACCTAGAGCTAACGTGTTCAGAAAACCAAACACCTAAAAGAAAGATATATACGCACAAAATTGAAAAATATTCATATCCTTTTATGCGAGTGCATGCAATTACGTGACAAAGTTCTTAATTCTGTTTGTGATTTGAAAACTAGTGAGGTTGCGCCTGCAAGTGAGTCAGTATTTTTGTATTTCTATAAATTAATTTTTGATTTTAAACCATGTAACCTGCAGTCACACGTTAAAATCACGACAAATAATAAAATACATCCATAATATGTAGATAATCGAATAATCCGCAAAAGTGACTTTGGAAAATGCAGATGTCGTGCATATCATTTTAAGCTATATTTATGAAGAACATAATAAGTATGACAAATTGGTGAATGGGTTTATTGAACACCTACCACGGCAGCGATGTATGCCGGCCATCCACCCGAAGTAGCAGCTAATAGACAGGAAACGACGAGATACGCTAAAGACGCTACGATAGAGAAGATGATGTCCTGAAAAGAACATGACACATCCCTTATTTATAATCAAGACATAGGACTTTTTCAAAATTTTGATAATTCTCAAATATCCCAAATAGCCACAGAGACCAGTTCGTTGTCCGAGAATAATAAATCAAAATTCATGATGTCGGCCCTACGGGTGTTTAGAGAAAAGCCATGGTCTGACTTTTTACCTTCAATCATAACATTCTTTCGTTAAAAACACTATGCCACAGTGATAACTGTTGTAATCACATCTAAAATCAACATATTATACTTATATTTTAATATTAGGCTAAAATCATAGAAATCTTCTCCTTATTAAAATTTGAATGTCCAGAACCGAAATAGGAAACGGCAAAATAGGCATTAGAATCCAAAAGCAATCTAGCGATTTCATGACGTCATTTAGACTATTACAGGTTTAGATCAGCTAACATTGTAAATTACTCACAAATTTAAATATATATTCCATTATTCTGTCCTTCCTGCTGACTATGATGATGAATGTTAAAAGACCTTCGAAGAAGACTATGATTGCCACCGAGAGGAAGGCCTGCGCCCCGCCGCCCATTGCCATACCGCTACAGCCTATACAGATGATACCAAATACCTGGAAATAGTAAATCATTTAATGGGTTAACATGTATAGGTATTTTACCAAAAGGAATTCATCAATGCATCGCCGCAGATACTAATACAATAACAACTTCTGGAGGGGGGGTATCGGTCCTATATTTTATTACACAATGTTGACGGTTGAACATATCAATATAAATAAGAGAATGGATGTAAAAAAATTACGTTCTTGAAAAAACTAAGAAAATGCGACTGCTGCATATTGGGACTGAAATGAAAATTGAGAGCGAAGGTGACCCCTGGATGAAAAAAATATTACTTTTGACTCAATATCTTTTTTGAGACCAGGTGGTTTATGGAGGGCGGACGCAGGGTACGTTGTGGTTTATTGTGAACGTGGTAGGAAGTGGGCGGGAAAGTGTAAGGAAAGGGCTGAGGCCGCACCTTTTCAGTATTTCATTTCACAGTTCTTTAATGAAAGAACGCAGAATAGTATATTAAGAATAAATCACTAAATAGCATGTCATTTCCCTGTAGGAAATACTACTCCTTTTTTATCTATAGAAAATACCTGCTTTTCTCATACTTGTGCGTCGATAGATGTACTTAACTCAATTACACACATTAGACTTGATACGCCAGATAGGCCTATAGTAAATTGAACATTAAGACCGCCAATTGCGTTGTCAACTTGGTCCTAAATCTTGGCAACAAAAAAGGAGATTATAACTAATTTGTCACGGTGGTGGTGGAATGCTTCCCAGTCTGTGAGAGATTCTGTTATTTCCGCGGTTTCAATAACATGTCACTAAAATATCAAAATATAAACATGCATATGATATTGATAGAGGCAAGAATGCATTCGAGGCAGAATTCGTAATGCGTAATTTCATGGAGACATTCACTCACGACTAAGTGTCTATCTAAGGAAAAGTCTGCATCTATTGAAGTTGGGTTCTCAATATGATCGAGGTGGCGTAAGGGTCAAATGAAGGCGGGGGAGGGGGGGTGGCATTGAAGAGGGTACAAACCTCATCTGGTGAGCTCTAGCGGCGAGTGTCGTGATTAATTATAAAAATAGACAAATCAAACCGCCTCATTCCTCTGCTCATGAGTAACTTCAGAATGTAAAATACTGGCTTACTATCCTTTGTGCAGTCACATTGATGTTAAGAGAGAGAGAGAGAGAGAGAGAGAGAGAGAGAGGGGGGGGGGTGGAAGTGATGGATATCAAATTCTGCAAGGTTGGGAATGATGGGATCGCCTCTGAAAAATCTAACACCTCGCCTATGTTTCTTATTTGATTTTAAGGATTTACGACAAACCTATATATGTTTTTTTTTGCAATTTTATTGTAGCAGCAGCAAAATGTTTGGCCAATCTACATTATACACGTTACTTATGTTTTGACGATTTACCAAAAGATTATCATCTTTCTGACCCACTGACACAGAAGATGACACTTTGCATGTACATATCCCTTGAGCTTGATATCATGATTATTTCGAGGAGTGAAGTCTTTATCTGTTTGGAGATAGTGGAACGCAAACACTTGAACTTTTTTGTCAAGCTAAAGAAGAAGAACGTTTCTAACTATGGCATTTTCCGAACTTTTAAAAATTTTTGAATAGAATAAACGGAAAGTGTAGATTGATAAGTACTGATTTGAAAATAAAAGCACTGTGGCGGAAGGGGAAGTGAAGGGGGGGGGGGCTGGAATTACATGTAGGAGGAAGGAATAGGTATAAGACGGTCAGGATAAAACCAAGTGGAAGAGATAGGCATAGGATGGGTGGCATGGGATATAAATGAGCAGTAGGGATAGAAATAAGACGGCCGGGATAGAAATGGGCAGACGGGATAGGAAAAAGGAGACTGGGATGAGACGAGGAGGAAGGATAGACGGACTGGATAGGGCTCAGAATGAAGAGATAGGAATAAGAAAGACGAATTAGGGATCAAAGAGAAGCTCAGAAGGGGTAGGAATAAGATGGAAAGGATAGGTATAAGAGGTTAGGAAGGGTATACTGTAAGAGGGATGAATGAGAATCCAGAGGGATATAGAATTGCTATCCACATGTCATTAGGTAATAGTTCTCACTAGTAGGCCCTATTCAACAATACGCATCTTTGTCCCCAAGTAAGTCAAGCAAGGGAAAGAAAATATGGTGATTTTATGACCCCTTAAGCAAAATGCCTATAAGATTTATAGGAATTTTAGTAAGGGACCGAAAGGGAATTAGTCGTCAAGGTCTGGTGCTGCCTGGTTGCCTTCATGCACTGCACTGACAGTATACAGACCTACTCGGAGTACACCAAATCTGACCGCAATAGTTTTAAAATGGTCGGTGATTTACTAATCTCTCCTCCCATATCACACGTAGAAAGACTGATAAGTGCAAAACGTATTTTTGTTTACATGTCGAAAATGAGATAATAATTAAGACATCTTTTTGAATGCTTATATATACATTAGCGTAGAAACATGTTAACAATGACCCCATTCAGAATAGGGGACTAACCGGTCCGAGGGTCAAATATGGCGACCCACAACAAAGCTTATAGACACTGAATAGATATCCCGTGGGGAAGCATTCAAGTGGGTCGGTCATATTTGACCCTCGGACTAGTTAGTCCCCTGTTCTGAATGGGACCAGTGGGTACATGACAACAAAGTAGCAATAACAACAAAGAAGAAGGCGAAATTGCAAATGCGATTTAGGAAAAAAAGACAACGAGAGCTTTCAGACACCCAGAATATCATGTGACTTTTAAGTCCACGTATGGACCAATGATTCGCGCAACCAATTCTATTTTGCATTACTTCTTTGTTTATAAATTGTGTGTGTTTTTCAAATTCTTTTAGCAGCCTTGGACCTGGTGGGTGGGTGGATAAGGGGGGGGGGGGGTTGAAATATGTGACGGGTGCGATCAGAGAAAGAATCCACCGCCATTATCTTTACATCTACGGTGTTCAACATGGCATACATCTTTGACCAGTGGCTGAGTCAGTGACATGCTTAAGAGGAAATAACTGACCATTAGCCTGACCGGCATGACAGGAGTAAATGATTTGGACACTGATAATGGGGGTTTTCAGCAGTAAACAACAAGCTGTGGCTCGACCCTGGTCTTAACACAGTCAACGATAAGGGGCGGACATTGCAATTGGCTGTGTACAAGTGCGTGCACACGTATATACCTACTTTAAATGCGCGTCCCTTGGGGAGCCAAAATATGGTAAAAATCATTCCAGCATTTTTTAAGAATTAAATCTAAAATCACGATATATTTAACGTCTTTATTGAACCTCTGACCCTTTGTAAGACATGCATGTACGTTAAAAGATTATTTTTTATTAAAAGTGTTGCCGTTAACAGCCAATAACAGAAAACAAGTCCCTAGTGTGATACTCACCAGTTGAATGATTTTTAAAATCCCAGGCGGGAAGAAAAGATATTCATCGTTGAATTCAAAAGAAAACAGAGGCTTTAACTCCCTCTGTTGGGTCCCCTCGTTTCCTTGTGCGGGGACACTGGTCGTCGACTGCGCAGGAGTAGCCCCAACACCACTCTGGGGTTTGTCACCTTTATTCTCGGTAGGTTTTGTCCTTGAGTCCCCCGTCGTCTCGTCCTCGATTGTCATAGCCTGGTTCACTGTTCCCCAATCCGCCATTTTGGGCGTTTGTTCGTTATCCCTTAAAGCACCCTCAATGTTGCACGCTGCCTAGTAGCAACAGTATGAGTCAAGGTATAAAATGTGAAGTGTTTGAGTGGGCTAAGGTACACTTTCTCCCGCCTCCGCAGATAACCGTCAGTCCTCCCGGCGTACTGATAACTTGATGCGCTTTTTCTTCCTCTACCCTACAAAAGCAAAACCATTAAAGAGCGTAAATATCTAGTGGAGGTCAAAGACGAGGGCGAATTAGACCCTACACGCCAATCAAGTGGCTGAGAAAGATATAATTTACTGGTACTAGTAGCTTTCAGCGCCATTACAAGTGATGGTCGGCGGATTTCAACCGACCGTGAAGAAAGATCCTTCCACAATAAAATGATATACTTGCTTTTTCGTTGACATTATTCTTATACTGGTCGCCATCAATTTTAGCGTGTGTTTTTCTAAGCCGATCTCAGGGTCCCATTTTCAACAGATTTGTATCGGTGTCATCTAATCAAATTGGCTATACATTTTCATTTTTTAGAAATTGTCGCACATGGAGTGCTCCTTGTGCAGCCTCGTGGGTAATAGAAATGTCAGCACAGTTTTGACATATATGATACTCATAATAAATCACTGAGCCTCTTTTGAATCATATTAAAAACTTTAACCTTTAAAATTTACAATATATAGTTCACTTACTGGTACCATTCATACTATTTTGGTATACATAATTACCATAATTTGGTGTTGTTAATAATTAGACAGTAGTCTTCCTCTAGGTGCTTGTGCACATTCTTTTTGTCTTCCCTGCCCCTCTCTCTCTCTCTCTCTCTCTCTCTCTCTCTCTCTCTCTCTCTCTCTCTCTCTCACACACACACATTCGCGCACACGCACACATAACATGATCCGCCTAAACATACCCATGCACTCGGCCGCGGGATCCTAGGCGCATTTGAATAATTAAGCTTTAAATCGTCTACTGCCCATGACCATAGCACGTACAACATTAATTATTTACATGCAATTTTCAAATAAATTTTAACGGGAACAATTAGATATATCAGGATTGAAAAAGTCCCTCCGGAGTTCGTCGTTCAGGGCAGGCTCCCTATGCAAACACAGACTCACCCAGTAAGATAAAAAAGCAGTTACACTAGCTAGTTTGGGACATCTTTGCACTAGAGTGATAGAGTTCCATCATCAAATGACATGTAGGGTGGATCGATCGATTTCAATCATACTAAGCATGTTGTGAGCGCGTCCTTGATAACCTACTTTTATCAGACTTTTACGAGAAGTAAGTTTTCATTTAATTTGATGAACGCTGACAGCAATGCCACCGCCGATTTGATTTCCCTTGAGCATTTCATTTGGACAAAGCCCTGTTGGTTCGGCGTTTCACCATTAATATACCAGTTTATCTTAAAGTGGCACCTTTCTATTATTTCCTTATATGCCTCTTATATAACCTAACTTCCCGAATTTCCCACAGCCGCGTATGTGCCTGTCTTGTAAAGATAGCCGTAAGTAAACTTTGGGATATCACTCATTTTATAACAGCAGGCCAGTAGACAGCAGTATCAAGGGGGTGGGGTATTTTTCTGAAAAGATGGACCTTTTAACCGAAAAAACTACGTGTGTTTATAGAACCTATCTGAATTCAGAGCGGGTCTTTTATAGGTTCTTTCGACACCCCCCCCCCCATCCAACCCCACTCTTATGATGAAGCGCTTGATTTTTCAGTTTTCATTAAATCATTCTTTTGTGTTCTTATATCTTAACATGTGATCTTCCTTCTTAAGAGCTTGTATTATGAGCATTATCTTGTCTTGGGCTACACGCGTAATGCTTTTTTTTGCCTTAAAATACATAAAACTGGATTTTTCTCCCACAAATGTCTAGACTGTGTCTTATTTAGAATTCTTAGCTCTTTGATTTTGTAAACCTGTCGTTGCTTGTTTCCAGTACTTTGCATGGGACATTAGCAGATCATAGATACACAACTGTATTAACTTTCCATCCGTCCAACTTTGTACGGCGCCACTTATCAGAGATCAATTAAAGAAAATTTAATAGATCTAACCCCAGGAAACCCATGCTCTCTAATATCGTGAATATATATATATATATATATATATATATATATATATATATATATATATATATATATATATATATATATATATATATATATATTAATTATCTTCATTTATCTTCATAGCAAAACTTGCAATTGTCGTGGCATTTTCTCCCTCACCTGTGTCGCCGGTGAACCAGGCTTTGGCCACAGGGATATAACAAATTTGCCTTGTTTTGCTCGGGACGTATAAAATATAGCAGACAATGCATGACAATTTAACTGTAATGTGTGCGGCGCAGGGGTGGAAATTTGTTTTGTTGTTTTTTGTTTTGCATGTTATACTGTTATTTATTTATTTATTTATCTTTTTTTGTGGGGGGGGGGGTGGTCAGGGGGGAAGTGGGATACCTCAGAAGTTAGGCAATGGGGTAATAGTCCACTGTGCTCACTCCCTCACCCCCACTCGTTGCCCATTGTGTCTTTATCGACATACTATATAGTAGAACGCGCAACTTCCTTTTTATATAGCGTGATTGTTTCACCCTGTTACGGACAAAATGGCAACGCACGGCGTGAAATTGTGCGAAATGAAGAAAGATGCCTGGAATGCTTTTGCTTTCATATAAGTTGAATGCAATGGTTTGTTACATTTCACGTGAAAGGATGTGTTCATAAGTAGCATGGTTGTTATTTTTTTAGGTCTAAGATACAAATTGTGCACAAAATCTCTCATTCTCTCTCTGTCTTTGTTGTTAGGTGCAAAATGCCAAACTGAAATAAACTTTAAAACAAACCAGCTTTTTGACGATTCAGGTATCACCATGAGTAACTTAAGTCACAAACAAAATTATCTTAAACCTTGCAAATGCATTGGTTCATCATTTTTACATATCTCATACACATTCCACGCCTACCCGAATGGTCTCCAAGAGGTTATTAATATTATCATGGTGTTATTAGTGCTGTTAAGATCATTATAGTCTAGTTGTCAGTTGTGCAAGTAAGTTATTTTGACGTCCATACAAACATCTAACAGTCTTACTGCGACTTTGCGTGTTTTAAGTGCTTATAGTAAAAACGTTATCAGAATTATATAGGAAACTTTTGTTCTCTCTCTCTCTCTCTCTCTCAGCCTCCTGTGTTACTTTTGGCAAACAGTGCCACACCCAACAAGGGAGAATGATTTAACAAAGTGAGCTTTCTCTAGTTCGATAGCCAACTTTTTAAGCTACTAGCTCAAGTTTAGACATTTAGGACACCTTGTGTCAAGCAGTTTGATAAAGGCGCATAAGCTATTAAACGCATGACTCGACACGTTTCTTTTCGTTTTGGCTGTATTCCCAGAGCTTTTAGATCGATCTATCCCCGCGGGGAGTCTCACTAGATTACTGTCAGATAATCCGGTTTAAATGTCCGTCCCGCCTACTACAAGCTATTTAGCGTGAACCCTCAGGGAGTTAGGTCGATCTAAAGTAGATCGATCTAATCTCTGGAAATGGGGTCTTAAATACAAAGTACTTCCATACAAAAACAAACAACACGGTGTAGTATATTACAGGAAATTCATCAAGTCACGTTGTCCCGTGATATCCGACGTTACAAGTAGTAGTATGATGCTAATGACAGTCCTGCGTAGTTCTACATACCCACGGCACGTTAATACTACGAGGACTTTGTCCGTCAAGCTTTTATGTTCCACGAAACATAAATGACTGACACCAGTTTTCTGCTGTGCCTGCCACTGGTGATATAAAATTTTGTTTTGTACGTGATTCTGACCATATAATGTATGTGGAACTTTGAAGTTCTGAGTTAGAAAAATGCATGCCTCCGTGGCTCTCAGATAGAATCTTTTCTCCCTTGTTTTAAAAAGGGGTGGGTCGGAATCAGCCGTTATGATTCTACTTTAAAATGAATAAGGACTCCCTTACATTACAGGCAACTGTTTGGTTATTAATAACACGATAAATAATCAATGTGCCTTATTTCGAAAAATTTCAATATGTATAAGTAGACTCAACATAACGCCGGAAAACACAATCGTTTTCAGCAGGTTGCATACAGCTACTATAACTATCGCCAATGAAAGCCAGGTGTAGGGGTTGTTTGCGTTAAAACATAGCAGCGTGCGTGTTAGTTAATTTGTCCTTATACATCAAGCTAGATGACTAATGTGCCCTTTACAGATTAAATCGTCTACAATATCGGGAAATCTTGCCAGCCGTCTTGTACCTGACTAACTTCCGCCCACCGTACGTACTTGCACTCTTTATTCCCAGCCGTCCACAGAATAAACCGGTGTGTGTGTGGTGTGTGTGTGTGTGTGTGTGTGTGTGCGTGCGCGCGCGCGCGCCTGCGCATGTGTGTTTGTGTGTGAGACACCGGTGTGAGGAGGGGGAGGGGGGGTCAAAGCCAGTAGCTCTCTTTGAATCGGTTGCACATATGTAGGTTGTTCATATCAAGGAGGGCTACTGGTTTTGACATTGATCGTTAGTACATGTATTAGTCTACAAAGGGAAAGGGTTATTATCTGTGACATACAGTGTGTGTGTGTGTGTGTGTGTGTGTGTGTGTGTGTGTGAGAGAGAGAGAGAGAGAGAGAAGGGGGGGGCAGGCCCGTAGCTAGCAATTGCATAAGGGAAGTTCTTCTTCTGAAAATGTGGACCTTAGCTTACAGGGGAGGGGGTAACAATAAGAGCCCAAGAGCCACAGTCATTAGCCCTCGATCGGTATCAGGGGCAACTTACACCGGTTGCATTGTACACTGGCAGTAACTTAATAGACATGTATGAGGTTATCCTTTACTGCATACAGTATATACTGTATACCCATAACAGCATTGCGTGTCACTTATTATTAAACCGCCATGATTTAATTGATGATACGTAATTTAAGGTATTGATAGCGCATACATCAATATGGAGCAGTTGCCAGTTATAATTGTATACACCTGCAAATACAACCATGTAGTGCTATGCGTAATGTCACCGACATTCCATTCTATCTTTTGAATCACCCAGTTCATATCAGGGCTTGCATGTAGACTATCTGAAGACAAACATGGTTTAATATGTAGCAGGCAGTAGCACTTGGTCGCATTGTAAAACATACAGGGTCGAGATCAAGTTAGAAATACCGGTATAAACGATAACCGGCAGAGTAACTACACGTTGAAATGTATAATAATTCATATATTCACTGAATTCAGAGAGGTAAGGCAAATAATATGACTATGGCCTACAAGCACGTAACACACGTCTAGACGTTTAAAACAAGGAGATAAGTATCGTTGCTTTAAAACAGATAAATGCACTTGCCTGACTTAAAACGTCGTATGAG